TTTCAACTTGTTGGTCAGGCTGGTCTCGAACTCCTGACCTCAGGTGATCCACCCGCCTCGGCCTCCCAAAGTGTTGGGATTACAGGCGTGAGCCATTGCGCCCAGCCTGAAGATCTATATTTCTGAAAAATGTCTTGGGTTAGATAACATTGACTGGGGCCTGGAGAATTTCCATCATTACAAGTCAAGGTTTGCTTTTACTTTTCCTGTGAACAGAACCAGGAAGGAGAACATTGAAAGTGCCATGTCCTATGCCCACAACACTGTGGTTCTTCATCCTTTGTTCCTGGGATACATTTGGGTTATAGGAAAGGTGTATAGTGTGATGTCATGTTTGGAGAAAAAGCAGGTGATCCTGACTTCTCTTGAAGTAACATCCACTGGTGACTGCAAAGGAGTTTTCAGAATTTACATTTACTAACCTACAGAATATACATGGCTTTATATCCTATAGGTTAAAATTACATGAGGAAAGACTGTATAGAACATGTGTGTAACCAATGTTTCCAATATTTTGAGCTGCCCTGAAAGAAAGAGATAACAATAACCCAAACTGCTACAGTATTACTACATGCTTGGCAATATTTTAAGAACTTTACATGTATTAGTGCATTTAATTTTCACAACAACCCTCTGAGTTATGGTCAATGAGTCCCATCTTATGAGGAAACTGAAGTACAGAGAGATGATAGAAGTTGCCCCACATTATGTTATTGGTAAGGGGTGGACAAGGATCTGCACATTGGTGGTCTGTTCTGAAGTCTGCTCTATCCTACTTACTGCCAGGGTAACATAACCATAAAAAGGGGGTAAGTAATGTACTTACGTTTTTCAAAATAAGTGTAGAGAGCAAGGCCTAAGAAAATAGGAACTTAGAATCTTACTCTTTTATGTAGCATCAGAAAAGCTGGTTACAATAATTTTACCCATTAAAAATATGTGAAGGCTTGTTTCAGAAACTAATTTTCTGGGCTCAAATCTTATTCCAGAAGATCAATGTCTGCATGGTACATTGTATATAATTTAATTTTCCCAGTTGAACATCGTGACACTATATGAACCATGAATGCACGAAATAGGAATTCCAAATATCTTCCATATGGTAAGAGGACTTTTGGATACTTCTGCAGGAAGCTTAAGGGTAGCTCGAAATTAAGTTATGCCTGTTCTTAGTGACTTTCATTATGTATGCCTAAGGTATTAGCACTTTTCTCTGAGTGGGACCCTGAGGTGATAGATAGATGAGTCTGCTGTCTGTATTTAGGCACTTTGCTCATTTCCTGAGAGCTGTGGAAGGCATGTGGATGCTCATTAAGTTTCCCACCATTCCCCGAGAGCAACAGGTGGTGAATCAAAGCTTCCCTGGTATGTCATGGCTGGTTTCCTCAAAGTCTTGGAAATAACGGATGGCATTCACATGCTCTCTGCAGCACCAACAGATAAGAAGGAGATGAATAGCAACAGGAAGTATTTCCAAAGCATAAACAAACACACAGGTCTAGGAAGATTATGAGTAAAGTGCTTGCTACCACACATTCTATATCCATACATGGTGGTTTCATCTTTTAAATCCTGTTACTCGTTCAAACTATGAAATCATAGTTAACTGTCCTGTGGTGGCTACCTAATAGAAGAAATGTAAATTAAAGGAAAAAAGAACATTTTAAGTTAAGAAAACTATGTCATAAAATTATAAGCCTTTAACTCTACATTTATAAATATCCAATGACCAATAGTTGTGATGTATCTTTAAATTGTCTCCTTTTCAAAATTACTAATTTATAGTGAGCACTGACTACATTATAAGGAAAGCGTATCTCCCACATCCTGATTAGAGAAGACAAAGCTTATTAACAAAAAACAGAACCTAAGATTTAAATAAAATACCAGATAGTTACCCAACAGTACTTGGTAATTATGTAGACGAGTATCTCTAGTGATTGATGAAAAGAGTTTTTGTCAATTAATAGCTTCTTTTCACTATAGTCAGCAGTCAATGAGAGAAAAACAAAAGAAAATATCAGAGCTACCTGACCTCGACAAACTCCATCTGGCCATTTCCTATGACCCGAGGAATAAAAGCGTTTGCTAGAGGTGGCAAATCATTTAACACCCCTCTCAACTTCAAAAAGCTCAAAACATTCTGACTAGTCCACAGATGACTAGGCAAATTCCGAGGATCCAGTGGGATATTTTTTTGATGGAGGATATAAGACTAAAGTAAGATGATAAATAGTATAATCAAAATTGCTTTTTTTTTTTTTCCTTCGGAGGGAAATAATCAATTTCACATTCTCAAGTACTCTCTCTCTCCAAGAAAGTGCTTCAAGCTCAGGAGAAGGGACAACTGGATTTCAAAGTACAGAAGTTCCTGTGAGAGAAGCTGATAACCCGATCACCTACAAGCACTTGCTGCAGGAAACTGCTTCAGCCCTTCCTAATGCCCCTCCTTTTAAATGCCTTCCCCTTTATTTATAATGCTACAGGTTATTTTTGATTAATGCTGAGTATCACTTTCTTATCACTTTAAACAAATAGTTTTAAAATTTTTATGACTTTCCCATTATTTGTAAAAAGCCATCTTTGTGTGTGTGTGTGTGTGTGTGTGTATGTTACTAAGGAATGCCATAATTTAACTCTATAATATGAAACTACCTATTAATTTGTGAAGTTATTTTTGCTAAATATCAAATGATAAGGAAGTGACTTCAACTCTTTAGTAAACTGCTGTCATAGAGTGTTACTTTTTCACCAAAGAATCCAAAGACTAAAAATCTATTAAAAGGACATATCTGAACTTTCATGATACTAATCTAGAAACATCAAACAAAAAGATAGAACTAAAATTGCTGAATGCCAACCAAGAAGACATAGCTTTCATGTCTATCAATTATACCAAATATACTCATAAAATATTATATATATCATATGACCTCTGGGAACTCAATAATATATCTATCCTAAAATCATATTATTTCACATAACTCACACTCAAAGCAGAACCTTCATAAAACAGTATACACAACTCTCACACTAGAAGTAGGCATGCTAACTTTATTTTCCTTTTTTAGAGATGGAATCCCACTCTGTTGCCCAGGCTGGAGTGCAGTGTGTGATCTCAGCTCACTGCAAGCTGCACCTCCTGGGTTCAAGAGATCCTCCTGCCTCAGCCTCCTGAGTAGCTAAGATCACACCTGGCTAATTTTTTTTTTGTATTTTTCAGAAAGACAGCATTTTACCATGTCGGCCAGGCTGATTTCAAACTCCTGACCCAAGTAATCCGCCCGCCTCGGCCTCCCAAAGTGTTGGGATTACATGAGCCACCATGCCTAGTCTAGGAATACTAACTTTAGAATGGACTAATGTACAACAGAGATTGATTCAAAACTTTGTAAGATGAGAACAACAAAAGGAAAATGTATTTGCATTATGTTAACCCCTATTAAGTAGTTCTAGAATATATCTTAAAAGTTTTAAAATAAGAAGCTGATTTTAAAGGAGCAACTATATCTGAGGCAGTAGAACTTTAAGCCTTGTCAGTTACCATGTAAACAATTTCAAACACTTTTTAAAAATGCTTTTAACATTTTTAAGTGGTTTACACCCATTTAAAACAAATGTTTTCAAACTAAACTTTAAACAATTATTTCAAAAGATATTTAGAAAGTTTATGGGGACAGTGTATGTGTTGGGTCAAAATATTTTAGTAATATGATTTGTACTTTGCAGTGATAATTATTGAGAGGAAGTAGAAGATAAATGTTTTAAAGGGATTATTATAATGAGTGAATCACAAAAACAGCTGCCTAAATGTTAGATTTATGGGGATGTTAAGACTCTAATTCTGATCAAAATCTGATAGAGTCTTAAGAATAAAATTAAAATGTGAAGGTAAAGAGACATTTTAGACTTTAAAGAATTCTTGTGACTTCAAATGAAGTGACATTTACATTTATTTAAGGGGCAATAGTAAGTTAAATGGAGAAATAAACAATCCATTTCGCCACGGCAAACTTGAGGTATCTGTGCTTAATTTTTAATTTAAAAATTTAGTTAGTTGAGATGGCTGGAGAGTACTTAGAGAACAGCATTTTATTTTTATTTTTCATTTTTCCCTATTTTTTTCCAATTTGGGTGAATCTCATAATTACAGTTCTGTGAAGCCAAGACTGTCCGTGCAGTATTTACCTTTATCCCCGGAAGTCCAGGAAGCCCAGGAAGCCCTGGTTCACCCTACATAGGAAAATCATATAGCATTATAGAATGATCTTCACTCAGTCACAATATCTGGAGAAAAACATGGCAAATGTTCCTAGCTCAACACTTTCTGCAAAGATAAATAAAAAAACCATCTACTTTCAAAAAGTTTTGTGAGATTATACAATTCAGTCAACTCTTGATTTAGAAATGGGTTGACCACTTCACAAATTTTTTGGAATTTTCTCTCTTCCTTTCAGTTCACTGCACATTGGTATCACTGTCAGATGGCGAGAAAGAGGAATCAAAAGAGAAGAAACTCCCATATTTCATTATTTCTTCATTAAATGATTTATTGGGGAGGCTCAATCTATTTGCCCAAATGAAGATAATGTGTGCATTTCAACAATGCATCCTATCGCAGTATTCCCTCACCTTAGATAATCAAGAGTTGGCTGTATGAACAGATGGTCACATCAAAACAATATTCATTAAAAGTCTTGCTCACTTAAAAAGTATAGTAAGCTTTCCTTTTCATTCCTGAATGATGAGAAGAAAAATGAATACTTAAGGTTAAACCTAACTCCAGTCTGTATTTCTGACAATTGTTGAGTCTGAGCAACCCTGCTTAGCAGCTTAGGGCTAATGGTACTATGCAGCTGTTGCTGAATACAGGTTTGAGATTAAGTAGTACATTTTGGGTGAGCATGTTGGAGTCAAGCTTAACCTTCTCATTTTCACAGAGTTGTCTACATTATTTTAAGCCCAAAGAATGATAACAAGAGGTTCCATTACTTAGAAAATCTCCTGAATTCTACTAAAGAAGTATAAAGGAATCTCAGGAGAAAATGAAAGTCCTCTCTGTTGGATTGAAGTGACTATTTTTTTGTGGAAATAACATTTGAAGGCAAAAGGGTGATACTATTTCATGATGGCCAGTTAGTGGGATGACAACTAAAAGACAGAGGAGCATTAAACTAACAGTTAAGTGACAAAATAAAGCATTTCCTTTCATCTAAATGCTTTAACAATCCGCATTTCAAAGTACATCCACTAAGTCCAACCAGAAAGTATTATTACTTTCAAATTATGAAACAGCATAGTTTGTTCTAGTATTATCACAAAGTGATGTCTGAGACTGCTTGTTAAGCTGTGTGATTAGACCAAAAAAGGACAATGGTTTTCTTGATGATTTAGGTCAAAGTTACTTCAGGAATGCAAAAGAAAAATGATTCTGTCTGAAACGATATAAATGAAGGTTTGCATTATGAACAATAAGACTAAAATGAGATTAAGCCAGAGGAGAAAGGCTGATTATTAAGAACTTGTTATTCCATTCAAAGAATGTCCAAGTAGTTAAATTTCACACAGATATAACATTATATATTTGATCTTCTTTTACTTTCTCTTTTACCTTTCCATCAATGAGTTTAAGAGGATCCAGTGAAAAGAGTTTGTATATATTTTTTGCTGAAAATTCTTTTATATTAAAAAAGTATAAGGCCCTTGAAAACAGTAAATTGCAATAGAATATACAACTAATAGAAGTAAACATATTGATGGCAAATCTATAGCTTTGTATGGTTTCAGAAAAGTCCCCCAAAACTCATTTTTGAAGACATTCCATCTGAAACATTTGTGGAAATATGTAGGTTGTAACATTATTGTCCAACAGGTGTTCTCATCATATCTTTCCCTCCCACCAAATGAAAGGATTGAATGACTACTTTAAAGAAAGATATTTATTTAAACATGCATGCATACATACACACACACCCATATATTTAATCAAGAAAAAGATGTGTAAGACATTATGAAATATTTTATAATGTAGATTGACTACTTAGAGAGATCGAGCATTTAACTTTTCTCTACATCATATGTGTACTATGTATGTGTATTAAGTAATAAATATATTTTTTAGTGAACAGATACTTTAGAAATTCTTATTTCTCATAGTTTTCATATTTCATAATTTGACCTTCATATTTCATAATAAACTTATGTTTATTAGTTGATATGATGAAAGATTATAATACATGTAATGTTACCCTTTGTGGAACACCGCCTAACATTTTTAGGAAGACATTTTTTTCCTATATAAATCCTCTGTCTTTATACCATAAAAGGTTATCTTCTAACTAGGATAAGTGTGTCCAACCCACAGCCCACAGGCCACATGCAGCCCAGGATGGCTTTGAATGTGGCCCAACACAAATTCATAAACTTTCTTAAAGCGTTATGAGATTTTTTGTGTGATTTTTTTTTTTTTTAGTTCATCAGCTGTTGTTAGTGTTAATGTATTTTATGTGTGGCCCTAGACAGTTCTTCTTCCAATGTGACCCAGGAAAGACAAAAGATTGGACACTCCTGAACTAGGCAATAGCTTTTCAGTTAACTTCTCCATTCTTGCCTATTCCTTGGTTCAGGGGCTTCTCTCAAGAACTCAATTTGGGGATGCACAGCCCAAAATTTGGGATCAGATCTTGGTCATAATTAGGATTTGGTTCATTATCCCATTCAAAGGGGATATCAAAATAAATCAAAAGTGTAACATATCTGTATAAAGCTTAACCTTCAGGTTTAGACTTTTGCTTTTTTCCCCTTCCTTTCACCTTTCACTCTCCACTACAGGAGAACCTCAAAATCAGGACTCAGCCTTCACCTCATGTCCCTGCTAGAGTGCTCTATATATTTCTAGAGAGTTTAACTGTGAGGGGCCCTTCTGATAGGAGATCAAGTAATTTTACTCCTTTAAAATTAAAATATTCATTTTAAAAAGATGTGGGAAAATTAGGAAGGAAAGAATTAGGTGATGAAACACAATACTTATTTTATAAATCTACACACTCACTCTACAAGCACATATATACACTCCAACTCACACATCAATCACATAGTAAACTCTTGAGGCTACAAAAGAAAGAAAATCCAATGAATTATTCCTACATTATGAATATAACTCTAGATCTCAAACTCTCATGCTGAAAAAGACCACACAGTGGAAAGCTAACTGATGAGTTTTTTGCTGTGTCACAATATTCTGTACTTTTCTGGGGTGTCTCTGACACAGGAGCCTAAGTGCCAATGAACCCCCAGCATTGTTCTGCAATGGAGAGGAAAATGCCGTGGAAGATCTCTTGAAGCAATTCGGTACTCAGTTCAGTTTATTTCTCTAATCTACATCAGCAGCAAGCATGGACATACTTTACTTTTAAATCAACATTGGGCTAAGTATTGCCAAATCCCGATATTAGACAAAGGAAGTCATAATATTGTGGGAAAGTGGGATTGTATCAAAGGGTAGAATCTGGCCTAAATATTAATGAAAAAGATGATGCTTACTTTAGGGCACATATTCATTCAGGAGAACTGTAAGCTTTTAAGGATTCTGCCCCTTCTCTCAATATAGTTTAAAACTGGTTTTTAATGCAATGCAAAGGAAATCCAGTGTTCCCATGTGTAAATCTATAAACTTCCAGAATGAATCTAAACTGTATTTCTAAGTAATCATTATGATAAGGCAACATTTTATTAAGTAATTGAAAATCTATTTGAATATTCCCCTCTGAAAACAGTGAAAACTATACAAGATTATAGCAGGTTTGTTTTGGTTTATTTTTTAGAGACACAACTGTCTTACAGACTTTTTAGCAAATCACGGATTTGGAGAGCAGTAAAAACTTAGACTTTAAATTTGAAAAACTAAAGGACCTAAAATTAGATTGTCTGAGAAGAACAGTTGCTTTTTCAAACCAAAGCAGACCATGGATCTCTGTATCGCTAATTCCAAATTTCTCAAATAAAGAACTGATAGGAAATCTTAGAAAATAAATAGTAAAATTTGCAGAGTTCTGCTAGGCTCTTTGAAAGAGTCTCAACTTTACTTAAAACTGGGCCTAATGAGTCATTGCTTAGACTCTTAGTTTTAAGAGAAAAATCTGTTTTTAAATTAGAGAAATGTTAAAAGAATGTGAAAGACCTCCTCAAAAATTATGTTCATCCTAAGTGTTTAAAACGAAGTAATTATCCTCTCAATGACTTCAAGAAGGTGGAAATATTATTTTACTATATCTTAAGGTTCCAAAATACAAGAAGGGATTTATTCTCTCTTCCCTTTTCTGCTAATGAGGTAAATTTTATTTTTCTATTCATATGTTTATCTACAACATCAGCTACTGCTAGACAGAGGCAGAGTCATGATCTTTAAGATTTACCCTAATATAGCATCCACATTTACTTGCTAGCTACATCTGTGGTCTAAAATCTGACTGCATAGGCATCGATATCCAAATGCTCAGATAATAAACTGCTAGCATGTGTTTCCTGTTTCAGACTCAAATGAAAGTATGAATCTAAACAGATTCACTGCATGTCCTCTAATTTATTGCTAAAATGATGTACAAATGCAAAAACCAAAAACTAATGTATCTATAAAATGGTATGGCTAGTGCCTCTAATTAAAATTTAGTTCATTAACAAATTTAGTGTGTTTAACAACACTCATGGCACAAGTAGATATAAGTCACATAAAAAATTATCAGTATGGAAGCATTTGCAATGATAGGAAAAGGAATATAATTCATAAAGAATTGTTCATCATTATTGAGACAGTTTAATGACAGTTAGATAGAAACAGCAAAGCAACACAGCCAATTATAGACTTTTTTCCATTAAAAAGTTATTTTAAAAAAGATAGAAACATGCAGATTACCATTAAACATGCAAGATAAATTGCTGGCATTCCAACCCACCTGATCTTTGTTAGTTTCAAACAGCTAAGTATATGCAGACTTTATTTCATAAAGCATCCTTTTACATGTATAAAGTTTGTTTGCACATTGTGCTATGGTCATCATCGATAACTTTTAAAATGCAAAATAACCAATAACACTCTGTAATGCAAAACATGAAAACCACATCATTTTGTAATAATTGTTTTCATATTACACAGTGGATGGTAGATATAAAATGGTGAATATGAGACAGTAAGAACACACTAGAGATAGAGATATTACCTTTTGCCCTGGACGACCAGATTCTCCAGGTTCTCCCTGGCCAAAGAAAACCGAAGATGAAAAAGATGGTCTTACAAGAATTTTCTAAAACCTTTAGGCCTCTGGGCACCGTCACAGGGATGGCCTAGTCCCCTTCTGCAACCACATGTCTTTTATTTCCTTTATCCTGCGACTCTACATCTCATTAGACATACTGATTCAATTTTTTTTTTTTTTGCTGTAAATATACCTATAGATCACATATAAATCACATTTCCATAAAAACCAATCAGAAAGGGAAGAGAATGCAAGACTTCTTATTTAAACCTCCATCAAATTTCCCACGGATATTCCCTATTGCTTTTGGAAGTCCAATTATTGCAGGAGAATAGGAACAGAGAAATAACCACCTAAGTTGCTAAAAAGGGAGAGAAAGTAGAGGCCTATAAAAATCAGAACTGTAAATCCTGGAGTACAACAAACACTTGCAAGGTTATAGTTACCTTAATTCCTGCAGCAGATGATCCAGGGTCACCCTAAAATGAAACCCAGGAGAGATTATGCCACAAGTTATGGGAATAGGAAACATCACAAGCACCCAGAGAGCCATTACCAACACAGGTACTCAAAGGGTACCTCATGACTAGTGGGCCTAAGTATGCTCCATAAGACTTCGTATCAATATCTCAGCTGTTAAGATGTCAACATTTCCAAGATAAACAATGCACTTCCTAAAAACATGAGTTTACTTCGCATGCAGATACATAAGGACTACATTCTGTGAAATAAACATAAATATGAATTTCTTCCCTGGATACAGTGCTAAAAATACATTGTGAAGCAATAAATTACAATTTAGGGATATGGAACTTTTGGCTTTCTCTATTCCTGGAATTTATTAATGCCATCAGCTATCATTTACTGGGAGTTCTCTAACCCTTTTGCTCTTCAGCAAGTCAAGGTTCAACAGATGAAGTCAGAGGTTAATGATGTCGAGTTAGAAAAAGCCACGCAGCAGATCAGTTTGTTTTCCTCATGAAGCACTGTCACAGTTACAACGGGCACGTTTTTTCCAGCTTTACACTTATTTCATTGTAACTCAGGCACCAGGAAGTTACAGGATGATGGATGACTTGTGGGTGAGGGGGACACATGTGAGCTCTGAGAGAAAGTCTTGAGACAGAATCTGTTTTTTAAAAGGCACTGTATTCCAGCCAGATTTCGTGGAGTGTGAATGCTTCCCTAAAGCAAACGTGTTATAAATAAGCAGATAGGAACTAATGGGGAAAATAATATGGAGGGTAGCTGCGAATGTTACTTATTTCTGAAATGAGGTCAGCAAAGGGCCTAGAATTTTAAGTTCCTTCTAGCCCTCTCTGTCTCATGAATACGCTAGAAGGAAAAAGAAAAGGTCATTTGAGACTGTCAAGAAAATAGAAACAGCCACAGGAGGGAGGCACATATTGGGATTTCCTCAGCTGTCTCATCTGTACAAATGCTCAAGGAGCTCCAGGGGCCCATTTCCTTGTTCTAGATTCCAGAAGCTCCTCATCAATCTCTTTTAGAGACAGACATAAGGCCTCAGGCCTCTGTACACGAGCCACTTGCCCAGCTCCCTCAATTTCTCTCCCCTCTGTCCATGGCTGGCACTTTCTCTCTTCAATTCTTGGCCTAACTGGCTTTGTCTCAAAGACCCCTTCACCAACCAGCCTAGACACATCAGATGCATGCCCCTCATGCACACATCTTACTCCGTAGCATCGTGGTCTGTTCATGTCCACTGCAGCTTACTTTCTAATTGACTATTTATGTTTCCTGCCAATTCATTGTCTATCTCTCTGTCAGACAGTTAGTTGAATGTGAGCAGATTTTGGATCTATTTTTATTCAGTGCCCTGGCCCATAGTATATGCTCAATACATATATGGTGAATGAATGAACAAATCTCAAAAAGAATTTTTAAACAGGTTAGTTGTCAGGGATCAAAAAGTAAAATTCTTTAGGAAGGGAAAAAAAAGCTTAGGAAAGAGAAGGAGATAGCAAATTAGCTTGTTAAGTAAACAGATAGTTATGTGAGTTTCTTTGACATCTATAATTGCTATCCCTCCTGTTGAAAATTAAAATGTAACTAAACATAAAGAAGAAGAGGACCCTAATACCGTCTTACTGTAGAATGAGACTAATTTCTCTTGCCAATCATTAATATCCAATTGAGTTCCAAATGGGAAGCAACATAAATATACCCAACAAAAAGAATACTTATTTCTACTAAATTAAATCTGAAAGCCATCAGTATCAGTGAAAGCCATCAATGAATCAGGTTTGCAATATTTTATACAATAATATCTTTGAATTCATAAAAGCAATTTTGACTCTACAAAGTTCCTACTTTGTCTCATTTAAACCTCACAAAACTCTCATGAAATAAAGGGGGCAGATATTATTATTTCCATTTAATAAACAAGGATATCAAAGCAGCTAGCTAAATGAATTTGGGGCTTCCTAAATTCTACTGCCATGTTTTTTTTTTTTTTTTTGAATAGAAAAGAATTGTTGGCTTATTTCATTTTGACAACAGGACATAAAGGCTGTCGTAAACTTGTAAATACAAGGAAGCTGCTTGTATTAATTGTAGTTTAATTCAATATCTTAATGAAAAGCATCCAGATAATCCCTAATGTGAGTAAAGACTAGATTTAGTTCTCATAAAAAGTGGATGGAAGGAAAAAGACAGTTTCTTGAAAGGGCAATATATTTGTGGAAATCTGAGCAGTTCCGTTTGATGGACAACTAAGAGTGATTTTTTTTTTCTTTTTTAAAGACTTAGAACTGTGAAATCTCAAGGAATTTTTACAACTTTTAAGTGGTAACATGACTGCTGGAAGACATTCATAAGTTAAGCATTTTAAAGGATAATGCTGCAAGTAGTGGAAATAAAATAGTGTGTGTTTATAATCCTCCTTCCCCACAAAGTGAAAATGAATACTGGATTAAAGTAGGGGGAAAAACCCCAACTATGTCTTAAGTACACTCTTAGCTTCGTAAGTCAGTTGGCTTGGAAATAAACATTTCTACAGGGTAAGTTATAGATGAGGAAATATTATAAGAAGATATTTTAGATAAATGAATTTGACTTTACTATGTTTCATTCAAGCATAGTTTCCATTTTTGTTTGTGATTATTTTCAAAACAACACTCAGTAGATAATTATATGTGTGTGTTAATAAGGCACATGTGGATATATGAAGTGAATGTAGTGACTTATTTTTATCATTCGTTAATTCATTCAACAAATACTTATCAAACACTAATTGTGTGCCAGACATATCTATTAATAGATGCTGAGAGCTGGGAGATAACAGTAAGCAATGCAGTTACAATCCCTGTCCTTGTCCTGCGTTACAATGATCATTTTCTAATATATGTAGTGCAAAAATATTGTTGATGGAAAGCATGAATGATAATTTATTTTTTTTTTTTCTTTCTTTTTTTTTTTTTTTTTTTGAAATCTGATGTAGGAAGAGACTGTCATGTTTGGAAAATTCCGTGTCACTATGCATGCACAGAAGACGCGATAAGCAAATGCATGGCTATCAAAGGAATTATAAGGAGTGCTGTGGAGCATATAGTAGGTGACCTACCTAGTCCAGAGGAGACTGAAGGCTGCTCCAGGGAAATGACTTATAAATTAAGTTTACAGTGGACTGAAGAATGAGTAAGATTAGAAAGTAGAGAAGTGATGATGAGGAGTCGGGGGAGGAGGACAGACAGCAACGGTATTCTAAATTATGGAAATGATGTGTGCTAATTAGGGAAGGCCCGGCACTGATTGGTGCAGGAGTGCCCACTGGGATAGGCCTTCAGGTGTGATTTTATGAAAAGAAGACAGTTTGGTTGGCTCTAAATATGATGTGGCTTCTGAAAAGGCTCAGAGGATGCAAGTCAAAGATGCATTTTCATACTTCATACTTCATACATGCACCTTTGCTATGTAGATGTGAAGTATGAAGATGAAGACAAGTGTGAATACACATAGGAATGGAAATGGGGGAGAGGGGAGCAAAGAAAAAAAAAAACAGGCAATGCTAAGAAAGCAAAGGCAGAGCTTTTGAATCAACAGACAGAATTGTGAAGAGTAGAGTGATGTGGCCAAACCATTTAGTGTGCAGCACAAACACCCCATTTTGCACAGGGGAAAATAGATAAGAAATCAATTTCTACATTTGTTGGTGGGGTTAACACTCCAAAGAGTGGGACATAATCCTTCGACAGTAACTCTACACATGGCTGAACTCCGTCTTTGGCAGGTTTATGCTCTTAAACCTAGGGTGTACCATGATTGTTGGCCAGAGTGTGCTGAAGTTGCTGGCCACAAAGAAAACCCAGTCTAGTGGTTTTTATAGTTCCACAGTATTTCCAGATGATCATTCTGGAAAGGTTTAGATTACTTTACCATCCAAAGGCGCTGAGTTGAATCAAAAGGAAAAAAAAAATCCTATTAAATTCAATCAATGACGTAATTTACTACATCAATGGCAGAAAAGAAGGATTTAAAAAAATTTTTACATCTCAAACTTGGTAAACGATGAATGAGTTTCACATACTGTACACAAAGGCCATGAGAAGAGTGTTTCCAACATGCTGGAAACAAATTATGTGACAGAAGGAGGAAATGTTTAAAAAACACATCAAAAATTATATTGCAATTACAGCATTCTTGGGATAAATGCTACAGGTCGGATTACATATTATACACATTACAGATTCCTATTTACAATCCCCTGTTTAGACCCATTGAAGGTTTATAGAAATGATTTCCGTTTTAACTGAAGCATTTCTTATACTTAATTTCAGCTGACTAATAAAAGTTTTTGATAAAAAAAGAAAAACAATCTAGTTGATTTCAATTTCCATGTGGGAAGAAAAGCTAATATTTATTGAGAGTTTATTATGTGTGAGTCAGTATGGGAAATGATTTGCATTAATATATAAAATAAGAACAGTATTCCTTTGAGATGACCTTGGTCTTTTCAAAGAAAAAAGCTGTTTTACCATTGTAAAATTAAATTGCAAAAAATTTAATTTTACAATATGATTAAAGAAACAATTTTTGTCCTACATTCCAAAAATGAAACTTTAAAAAGACATCGTTTAAGCATAAAATTCTCTACATAAATCCACATAGGCATAGTTCAGATGTAGTATAAATTTTTTTCACTTGAAAAAAATTGCCCTCTGTGTAGAATATTTCCTTTCTTTTAAGTGGAGGTTGGTAACTATGGCCAAATTCAGTTGGCCACCTGCAAGACCCAGGAGCTAAAAGTGGTTTTTAAGAATCAAAATAACAATAATATTTCATGACACATGAAAATTACATGAAATTAAAATTTCAGTGTCCAGAAATAAAGTTTTATTGGAACACAGCCTACTCACTTGTTTATGTATTGTCTATGGTTGCTTTCATGCCATAACAACAGAGTTGAGTAGCTGTGACAGAGACCACATGGCCCACAAAATCTAAAATATTTATGTTCTGGCACTTTACTGACTTCTGCTTTTAAGCAAAAACAAGCAAGTTAGATGTAACGCCACGTTTATATATTTAGGGTTTCAAATTTTGACTTTGAGAGTAATCAGGGTATATCATTGGTCTCATTTGTATTAAACAGATTCATGCCATATTTGATTGCAGCACGATACTTAAAGTTGGCAGATAAATAAAATGGGCCTATAGCAGTGATACTCAACTGTGGGTGGGTGGCTTTGTCCCCTAGGTAACATTTGACAATGCCTGGAGACATGTTTGATTGTCACAACTCAGAGGTGCTATAGGCATCTTGTGGGTAGAGGCCAAAAATGATGCTAAACATCTGAGGGCCCTATAACAGAGAATTATCTGGCCCCAAATGTCAATAGTGCTGAGGTTGAGAAACACAGATCTATAAGAAACTGAGAGCCCACTCTAATTTCTAGACTCCTTGAATATTAATACAATTGCTACTTGGTGACATTAATTCATTCCTACCACACATGCCATATTTATATTAATATTTATGAGAAGAAAAAAGATAAATTTCTTTTTATTTTGTGGCTATGTTTTTATGACTAACCATTATCCATCTGTACTGTAATAATTTTCAAAGTGGAATAATTTCCAAAGTCTCAACTGTAAGGTTAAATAAATACATTTTCATCACTCAATTACTTAGCCTGATTTAAATTAAAACCCATCTGACTTTATTCTATTTTCAATTTCTTAAAAGATCTTCTTAATCCTGAAAACATAGCACAAGTGAAGTATAACAACCTTCCTATGTCAGAGTATCTATAAAGTATGAATCCAAGCAAAAGCTGTAATGATAGACTGAGGAAAAATAAGAAGAGAGGAGACAGAAGACAAGCCCCAAAGCTACTGCAGTATAAATGCTAGTAATGGTTTAAAAGACCCTTTGCCCAGGACAGAATACGAAGCCTGACAAAATATCCAGATTTAGTGGAATTTGAATTGAGGTAAATTTTCAAGACTGCATTAGAGGGTCTAATCAAGTGACATTAACTTATAATCAAACTTTTCTTTTCCTGTTCTTTTAAAAATTATTATTTCAATGGGTTTTGGGGGGAACAGGGGGTGTCTGGTTACATGGATAAGTTCTTCAGTGGCGAGTTCCGAGATTTTGGTGCACCCATCACCCAAGCAGTGTACACAACACCCAATGTGTAGTCTTTTATTCTCAGCCCCCTCCCACACTTTCCCCAAGGCCCCAAAATCCATTATATCATTCTTATGCCTTACAATCAAACTTTTAAATCTCATTCCAATCCTCTGACATGTTCTCTCCTGAAACTGGTACAAACTGCATCACTTTAGGTCTCTATTTTCATATCCCTGAGTATAAGGGAGCATCCCATTTACCCATGAATAAGTGTTTTAATTCCTTGAAAGCCATATTGCTGAAAACTTAGCTACACATTTTCTATAATTTTTGATATATCATTTTACTTTGAAAATGTTTTAATTTGTGGATAGGAGCTTGTGGAGTAATCACCTTTTATAAATCAAATACTTAAATGTTTTCTAATCTTGGAGAATGATCTCTGACCTTTTCATATTTAGCAACTCTCACTCATCTCTCTAAAAATCTCCCATCTTCGTATAACTTGAAATAAAATTTCTTGCTGATATATGTACCCTTTCATATCTTACAAAACTGTACCTTTTCGCCTGTGTCACCTTTGGGGCCGTTCTCTCCAGCGTCTCCCTGAGGAGGGGAAACAAGTGACACATGTAAAATACATTGGTGACATTAAGCAAAGAGTATTTTTCATTATTTTAAGCTTTCTTTCATGAACACTAGATATTAAAATCTGTTGCAGATGCTCTATAGAGCTAACGTATTTATACTTGACCAGTTGTTTGATATCAATAAAAGAAATTTTACTACAACGAACATGGCTGAACAGTTTTAAACTATTCCACAGTATTAACAGAAGACACTTGCTTATCTATCTTCCAATGCCTTATTTGGGCACCTAAAGCCTCCTTAATTCTGTCTCTCCTCAAAGCTCCACTCAAACAAAGGTTTTCTTCTGACAGTTCCCTGAATATGCCATGGGCCTTACCACCTCTGAGTCCTTCTTCATACTATTTCTGTCACCTGGATCCCTTGCCTCTCTTTCCCTTTCCATCTGTATAAATCCTGCCCTGTCTTCAAGCACATCTCAAATCTCCAGGGCCTCAAAGTACATGACAGGGCCCTCAAAATCTGTGGACTGAATATTTATTTATCTGGGCCTACATGGTTTGCATTTGTGAAATGAATGTTTTATGCTTGACTAGAAAAATTCAAAAAATCATAGTTTATGCTTTTTTGTTGTTATTTTTGAGACTTCCTATGCCTGTTCCTTCACTGACATCTCTTTTTTGCCTACAGAGAAATGCATTAGGGAAATAAAGCATTCGTTTATTATCCATGCTTTCTTCCTTCAATTCTGAATTCTTCAATATAAGTCTTACAATATGTTATGTGGAAATGTTATCGACTTTGGAGCCAGGGAGACAGCCCAGTTCCAGCACCTACTGGGCAAATGAGATTCTCGTTGCATCAGGTTTCTCCTGTGCAATGTAAGGGAAAGGATAATTTACACAGTTATAAGAAATAAGTGCTACACTGTGTGGAAAGCAACTAGGACAGTATCTGGCACATCATAAGCTATTAATGATACCAATGCATTACTATTCACATATTCCATAGGCTGGAATGCAGTCACTTTTCTATTACTTAAAGTTTCTCAAAATAGGACAGAAACTATTGATCATAACTTTCTTGGGAGAGGGGAGAAAGGAAGTTGGGAAGGGAGACTTTCACTTTTTCTCTGTATTTTGCTTTATTCTTTCAAATAAGCATGAAGTCAGTCTGCTTGGGCATTTGTTTATGGTGACGAATACACTGCGGCAGGCCATGAGAGCCTGGGACACTTTCTCAAATGAATGCCTGGTATGGTGCTGATACTGCTCTTTTTCCCTCCTAAATTCTATACAAAAGAGTCACCCAGTGACTAATTAATTTCAAATTAATTACCATGAACTGATTGGATGCTAAATAAATGCCCTAGTAATGTGTTATGAGGGACCTTTGATAGGCAGTTGATTTGCATGCTTTTTACAAAATTGCACAAAAATCCCTCTATTAAAAAACAAAACAAACAAACAAACCTTCTTAGTAGGGAAACTGGCTCAGAGTAATTGCAAAGCGAAGGGTTTAACTGAACTGCCCCCTCAGGAAACTGCCCTTTCCACCCACATATTTTGCTACCCCTCCACTAATGTTTTTGTTTTCTTTACAATGTTGAAAAATACAGTTGTAATCAAGAATTTTTCTTGGTCTTTAGATAAACTTCTTTTGAGATTAGAGGTTATAAAACTCATTTGTCAGAAAGACCATATCACTTACGAAGAGCATGATGCAGTAACTTGGTAGTTTCCTACTCAGCATATTTTTCAAACACTATTAAAATAAGTAGCATGAGAACCAGGAAAATAAGTATCATAACATGCAATCAGAGCCTAAAAATAATCAGGACAGGCCCAAGTAAGGAAAAGAGTCTAGGATAATTTAACACTCTGCTTTTCCTATTTCTCTTTTTGGTTTTTATGGGAATTCTTTGTGGGCAACCTTCAGATAATTGCTGCAGGTAAACATCTGTATCCCTTTAACCTAGTGACATCAGAAGCAGTAGAGAGAGATGCGGGTGCTTGGAAAAGTATTAGAACGGCATTAGCAAGTAGGCAGACCAGATTTTGCAGGCCTAAGGATTTTTGAAACCCATCTAAAAGCCTGATACAGAATGTTTAAATTTGCTCCCTTTCTCTTCATTTTTAAATATTTGTTCTGAAGGTACATCGGCACCTTTCTCTTTATTTTTTAAAAGTTTTTTTTAACCCAAATTTTTGTTTATACATAAGAATCACACTATTTCCTCCTTCCACTAATTAACAGTTTGAAAAAACACAGGGGTCATTGTATCTATATCTATATATCTATATCTATCTACCTACCTACCTACCTACCTATTAATCTACCCACCCATCCATCCATTCACACATACAGTTTAGTTTGGGTACTTCTTTGGTATGCTGCTGGTGGGGAGTAGGGAGAGAGGAATACAGGCAGAATCATTCTTACCTTTTCACCTTGTTCTCCAGGTTCTCCCTGAGCAAAAGGACAGAGATTGGGTGACATCACATCATAAAACATTTAATTTTATGATCCTTATTAAACAAAACAGATATTGAACTTACTAGGTAAGTTATGCATGACACTTTCTATTTTGGCTACATGTAGTTGCTATATGAAAACAAATGATAAAATGAGTTTCCTGGAGAATGTGAGCATGAATATCAATTATCAAATGTAATCTTAATTTTTTGCTCTTATAGCACTAAGAAATGTATTTGAAGATTATCATCCAGAAACTGGCTTTTGGAGCACTAAGGAGAATGATGGTGTGGCAATTCAATATCTTGAGAGGCTTCTTAGCGTACAATTTTCATTCTGCTTAAACTCAGAGTTAGTAAGGTGGACTAGCATGTTTTTCTGAAAATCCTTTTATTCAAAGCACTTCCTGGTTTGTAGATCATTTCAAGGTTCTAGGGTGCCAGGGTAGCTACCCAATCTGTCTTGCCCTAACATGATCATAAACAGTCCTAATATTGAACCCCTTACAATATCATAAACTCTCTTTAGCTTCTGGTAACCAGCATGTTCCAGATCAGGTATATTTTAGGAGGCACCTTCAGGAAAGACACTAGAATGGGGCAGAATTGAAGTGAGTTTAGGAATGATGTCCTTACTCAAAATGATGACCTGGATGGCATGAGGACTCAAATGCAAAATGGTGCCCTGAAGAGAATCTCATTTTCACTTTACCCAGCAAAGAACAGAGGTTGGAGCAGCAGAGTAGGAGTCCTAAAGTAAATCATATACATTATGATATAGTTTCCTATGAAAAGCCTGAGTGAATGTTGCCATAAGATCAGACTGCTTTGGAAAAAAGATGAAATAAAGCAATTATCATTTTTTTTTTTTTAATTTATAACCCACTGCACAAGTCAGTTTGGAAGCAAGACTCTTTTCTCTGGAACTCAATCTGACCCTTTGGCTTTCTGCATTTCTGGTCACCTTCACTGCTCAACACCCATCCTGATGGTCGCTAGGCAACACCAGAATAGCACTGTGAACATACATTAAGCATTAACTCCTATTGTCTGACGTTTTAGCATGGAGAAAGAGAGAGAAGAAGACAGGAAAACAGCTAGAGTCCCAAAAGGAATATTTTCTTTCCTCTCCTGCAGGACAAAGGACAGGTCTATAAATTTAAGGTCTGTCCTAGGCGCCTGTCAATAGCAAATGATCTGTAAAATCAGCTGAGAGGCATCTGTGGGTAGGAATACATACCAGCACAGCTGATGGGATTAGACATTAGTTTTGTACTTCAAGGGATGTTCGCTCATCAAAGGATTTGGGATTTGGCTGCCTGCTTGATTTAAACTAAATTGTCACCAATCTTTTTATATTTAACTGATGCAATTTTTTTTAAGAAACAAAGAAAACTTGGAATAAAAAATCTTCATTACATTTTTCCCCTATTTAGTAATTCAGACTACATCCATTTTAAAATTTTAAACATCTTTAATCTGCCTTCATCTGATTAACTGGTTATGTTATGTAAGAGTTGGAGGTGGCCAAATCTTGGGGAAAAGCCATAGTGAATGTCATCTTTAGTAAAGCATATGTAAATATCAAGATTTTAGGCAATATTGACATGACCTATGTTTTTATGTACCCATTAAGTGGTAAAATGACAACAGTCAGATTTGAAACATAGGCCTACTCATGTTATTTAAGTATCTCAGAATAAAGATGTTAGACAATCACATCCCATTTATTTTTCTGCATTTAGTACTAATGAGAATCACAAATGTAATTAATTCATTACTAACAAAGTTCTATACTGTAGCATAGTATACTATTCACAAAATACTCATTTAAGTACAACCGGTGAGATTGTTAAAAATTGTATTAAATAATAGCTTATAATTTCCTGACAATTCATGTGTCAAATGATTCTGCTTGACTTTATTTGTACTAACCTTTGGTCCTGGTATTCCATTCTGTCCTACTGCTCCAGGCAACCCGGGCTCACCCTCAAAATAGAAAAATAGATACTACTAAGTAAAATAGACAAAATCAATACATTACATGGATCATTAGAGGAGACAGCCATCTAATAATTCTCTAGAAATAGATAAAGAATAAGTGACTATTAGTTTAAATTCAAGTTAGCTTCCATGGTCCAAAATGCTGCACGTAATGGAGCAAGGATACAACGAGATTAATTTCCTTTGTTCAGTCTTATCATCATTAAGAAAACTGAGGCAACTTACCAGCGGAAATTAATATCTAGCATGTTGCTGGGTACATTGTGAACATCAAATAAATATTTTCTGAATGAGTAAAAGACATCTGAAAACACAAGACTCTCTTGGCAAAAAACTTTTAAGTGATTCATCAACTCAGAAAAAGAAAGAATAAATCATTCTGTTTTCACATTAGACTTAAATGAACATTTACAAACCTAAATCTTGAAGAACATACACATCTTTGAACACCTACTTAATTCATTTAGACACATTGACACGAAAGTAAACACTAAAAATAGCTTTGGTTTTTCTTTCCAATTTTATTATAAAAAGAAGAAGAATAAAACATTCAGACTTATGGATCTCATTGTCATATCAAGCGATACGCTTTTGGACAAAAGATGATGGCTATTAGGCTAGAAAAAATTTCCTATTTCAGAAAGATGATGATGTTTACCAGTCTTTCAAGACTCTGAACCAGCAATTGTTTTCCAAAGAGGCAAAGCTCCCTGAAGTGCCCAGAAACAAGGAAAAGATACTTTGGCCCTTTATGCTTCCATGTGGCTCAAACTTACAGCAATGAGAACTCTGTTCTCATTTTAAAACATTCTGAAAGCCCTTCACCGTGTGCCCCAATTACTGGACAACCTTCTTCTTTCCATTGAGGCCAGTAAAGTTGCTCCTTAGTTGATTTTTTAAAAATAGACTTTATTGTTAGAGCAGTTTTAGGTTCACTGCAAACTTAATTGATTTTTGAGAATGTTTTCTAAGTCACCTGGAGGGCAGGAATTCTGTCACTTTTACATTTGTGTTCTCAGCTTCAAATACATGTATGTTAATAATAATAGTAACATTTCTTAAGTGCCAGGATCTTTATAGTCATTGACTCAATTCCCACAAATTTCCATGAGGTAGGTACTATTTTTATCTCTATTTTACAGGCAAAGAAACTAAGGCACAGAAAAGTTAAGTAATTTGTCCAGATTTATATAACTATAGTCAGGACTTGAACTTTCATGGCTTAAGAAGTTATGCTCTGGTTTAAGAAGTTACGCTCTTAACACCATGTTACACTGATTAGTGAATGAATATATCTAGGAATTGGGAGAGAGTAGATGATGAGTATTTCTATCTTAATTATTATTTGGTTTATAGTCCCACTTATAAATGACTGTCAGAATATATAGAAACCTGAATTAAATATAACCTACATAGAGATGATTTTTTAATATCTACCAGATAAACTAAGCAATGTGAAGCTTGTGGTGTCTTTCTAGAATAGCAAAAAGTATTTTACTATTATAGTGGATTATTAAAATTGCTAAAGTCTTAACCTCCTGGAAAAAAATTCTGCTTCCTATATAAAGTCACACTGTAATTGTAACTCTTGCACTTTCCTTGGTAAAATGGGAAAAAATGTTGACTTAGAATAATGATGGTCATTACGGGGAAATTTTGATATGCCATTTGTACATAACAAAGGATAAGAACTTGGAAACAGAATACATCCTGAAAAAGGAGTATCATTTACTGTGCAACCAGAAAAAGACCTATGGAGTCTGCTTGCTTCAAAGAATCCACAACAGGAAGCACTAATATCATAACTCATGGTTTAATGCAAATAAGAGATGCCGCCAGGAAACAATGCAAACTTTGTTTAGACTTTCAAAGAATAACCATTGTAGCAGAGTTATTTTTTTAAAAACTGGTTAAGCCTCTGGAACAGGACAAAAATTCATGCTGAGATTTTGAAGCAAGGAAGAGAAATGTTGCTGAGGTATCTGCATAACATTGTCCTTAATATATGAACATTGAGGGACTAAAGCTTGATCTCCTTTTTTTCTTTGATTTTTTATGTTGTTAATCTTTAACATAAAAGGCAGCAAAAAATGGTACCTGTAATCCCCATCGGTCTATAATAATTGTTTTCATTTTGTCCCATCTCCTTCTGGTCTTTGTTATTTACGGTTACATATTTTCAAGCAATTGTAAACATATTGCATAGCTTGATGTTCTGATTTTTTAAACCTTTATACGCACATTTGTTTTCACACAGTATTTGTGAACACTGTCTTGTGAATAGTTTAATCATCTATCAAAGTCAGGTGTGATCATTTGTTTAATCAGTCCCACATTGTTGAATACTCGTGTTCTTCCAATTTTTACTATTAAATATAAACTAAAATAAACACCTTTGTAAGTATACTCATATTTTTCTGTCAAATAATTTAATTATGATAAATTATCTAAATTTGTTTTATTAGTCAATGGAAACATTTTATGGCACTAACTGCATATTTCTAAATTGCTTTCTAAAAGAGTTCTGAGTTTTATTTGCTTTTATAGGCACTTTAAAAAGTTTTTCATAGGCATTGCTTTTATAGGCATCCACTCTGTGTTACTTTTTCAAAACGTTTTACAAGAATGGTTTTTCACAACAGCATTGAATATCACAATTTTAATTATTTTTGTGGCCATTTTAATATGCACAAATGAGAGCTTACTGTTGTTCAGTTTTAAATTTTTTACTTGTAAGCTTAAATATTTTCTGATGGGTTCATAATTTAAGTAGGTATTCACAAAATTTTACAGCTGAAAAGTGAATAAAGCTAGAGGAAAAAATGACTGATAGCATTTTACCTTTATAATAGTTATATCAAGCAACACATACTCCAAGTTAGATTAAGGGACTACAGAGCATTCTGTTATTGTCCACACTTAGTTTCCCAGGTTCTGTGCAAAGAATATAAAAGATAAACCACTGTACAAGTCTGAGTTTCATAGCCAAGCTACAGGAGTCTGTAGGTGCTGATTATTCAACTAACAGTGAAAATTTACTATATGTTCTACTCTGGACTGAGTGTTTCCTGAGACGTAAAGATGAAATAGACATGACAAGTGCCTGTGCCCAAAGAGCTTATTTTTGAGTGGGGGAAATATATACATATATGTATACATATACACATTAGGGGGCATCTAATTGAGTTCATGAAACATTTTTGGGGGAAAGTTTTCTTGCACTTCATGAAGTAAGAAACATAATAAATAGAAATCAATGAGAAGTCTTACTGAGGGATAAAGCATACATCTTGTATTAATATCTTTCAATATATCAGGACAAAAATTATTATCATGAATCCTCTAAATAAAGTTATCATGATGTTACACTATTACATAATAGTGAACATGTACATATACAGAAAAATATATCAGAAAGGTACAAACAAAAAAAATGGGAACCAGGTTGTGTGTGTGTGTATGTGGGTGGGGGGAGCTGGTCTCATGTTTGTTGCACAATCTATCCATCTATTTCTGAACACATTTCATACTTAAAACAGAGGGTATTCCATAGATGGTAATAAAGAAAAACGGCAGCTAACGTCTTAACCACAGGTAGATTAATGGAGTTTTGTCTACTATACTTTAAATTTAAAGGCTATTCCCAGTATGACCATTCCCAAACGGCCATTTCCATTTTAGGCTGAAAACAAGTTGGACTGACTTTTAAGAAGGATGGCTTGCTGCTTTCATTTTTCAAAAAAAAAAAAAAAAAAATCCAACTCTTTTGGAACTCTAATGTAAAACATTACTCACAGCCATTACAATTATTTCAGGAACTGTCATTCAAGGGCTACTTGAATGAATAGTTAAGGATAAAAAGAAATGCAGTTTTCTTACAAATACTGAGTGCTCAAAGGAAGCATGTCATCTAGCAGTAATATTGCTCATCATCACTTGAATCACAATAGATTTCCTTTCTGGAAATTGGAATGAGAATGGAATGGACCTATACGTTATACCTGGAAAATGAGCAGAGTTTAAACCTGTGTTGTCCAATTGGTACCACTAACCACAGGCAGCTATGGAGCAGTGGAAATGTGGCTAGTCCTAATGGAAATGGATGTAAGTGCAGAATACAATTTTAAAGATTTAGTAGGGCAAAAAGTGTAAAATATCTCACTAAAAATGTGAATATTATTCTTGAAATATTAATTCATATCATGTTAAAATGATAATTTTGAATAGACACTGAGTTTAAAAACTATATTATTAAAATTAATACTACTTCTTTTTACCTTTTTCCAATGTGATCAACTTAAAAATTGCATATGCAGTTTGTATTTGAAGCTTACATTATATTTCTGCTTCTCTCGAGCATTGGTTTAAACTATAAAAGTATTTAATTATTAGAAGACATCATGAACCAAAAGCCTTTAAAAGCGAGGAAAGAGTACTATCAGTATTAAAGCAAGTCAACATACAGCAAGACTTCAAAATGGAGACTGCACTCCATTGCATATGCAGTTAAAATGCACCAGAGAACTCTGCCAAGCTGGAGCAGTATGTGGCGGGTGGAGAGACTAGAAGCAAGCTCTGGCTCAGGCCAGAGTGGCTTTTGGAGGGTCCAGGAGATCAAGTTCTTGTGTGTAACATGGCACAGCCAGTCTCTGTACTGTCTGTATGGTAAGCTAGTGGTTAGAGGCTGACTCTAGGGACCAACTAAAGGAGTTCTTTGCCACCCACCAGCTTCCAACATTCTCTTAAAAGCAAGTCAGGCATAGAGCTCCTTCACTCAGTTCTCTGCAAGCCTGTCCCATCTCATTCAAAATAAGAGCCGACATCCTTACAATGGCCCCAGCCCCACATGATCTGACTCCTACTGCTCCTCTGACCTCCCTTCTGCTGCCCGGTCACATACTCCAGCCACACTGAACCCCGTCCCCACCTTGCTCCAGTGTGGAAAGCAGCCTCCTGCCCAGGGCCTTTGCACCTGGGCGTTCTCT